ACAACGTAAAGTAGAAACTAATTATTCACCCCGTGTTTCTCTTCTTTATGTCAAGGGGAAGATAACGTTTACGTCTCTTTTTAATCATTGGTCTCTAAGGGGCGGCCATCACACTCGGCAAAATTTCAGCATTGGGAAAAAAGAGACCAGATTTTCCGTCTAAAAACTGAGATCTGAGGAAAACGTAAGCACGGCAGTTCTCGGGCAAGAGTTGACTGTGTTTCGGGTGCAATTGTTGTTTTATAAAATTTATAATTGAAAGACAATGATTATATTAAAAACTGTTATAAGGAAAAAGTTTTAAGTGAAATTAAAGTTATAGATGAGATATCATTTGAGTTTTGTTTGTTTACATCCAGCGCCGCGCCGCCAGCAGCGAGTCTCAAACCTCATGAATTATTGACACAAGGGGACTCGCAAACTTCCCTTGTTGGTACAGTGAGAGAATTCAGAGTGTTGTGGTGGCGACTTCAGACATTTAATGTAACTCAAGAAAAACTTAAAATTACAACACTTTTGGAAGAGCCGCCACCTTTTTCATTGTTTTGTTGTGACGACGATACGTGTGTGTGATGAGAAGGGTTTTTTTGACCGAGAACTGAGAACTGAGATCCGTGAATAACGGAAAATTTTGTCCCCTTAAAAGTAAATCCATTAGTGGCTGACGGATTATGTAACGGTGCTTAATGATGATAAATATTAATATGTAACGAAAGGATAATTATTCCCTATTAACATTCACAGCGTTGAAAGAGCTGACATCATTTCATGTATTAATGTGGATCTGTGCAGCATCTCCGATTGGGGAGGTATAAACTTGGCTAAATTCAATAGTAATAAAACTCAGTATTTACCAATTACACTTTCCAAATTAGATGATCTCCCACCAATCACATTTCAGGACGCAATCATTCTGCCAAGTTCTAAAATAGATATGCTAAGCCTCACCATTTCCTCTAATATGTCATGGAAGCCACACATCCTCAACACTGCTAAAGCTGCCTCTCGAAAGTTGGGAATGCTGTACAGATGCCGTAGCTACTTCAAGTATATAAGGGATTCATTCGACCTAACTTGGAGTACTGCTCTCATATCTGGGGTGGCTCTTCAACTGTTAGATAGGATGGAATCAAAGGCATTTCGTCTTATTAACTCTTCTCCTTTACTTGATAATCTTTCTTCCCTTTCTCTTCACCTCAATGTTGCTTCACTCTCTCTCTCTTTTACAGGTACTTTAACGGGCAATGTTCGGTGGATTTGGCATCCTGTGTACCGCCGGCAAGGCCGTGGGCTCGTAACACACGTCTTGCCCACCGTTTCTCTGTGGATGTCGGTCACACTATAATAACCCGTTATAGTACATCCTTCTTTCCTCACACAGCCAAACTGTGGAATGCTGTGCCTTCTTCTGTGTTTCCATACTCATACAATCTGTCTCGCTTCAAAAAGCTGGTGTTCCGGCCTCTTCTTGGTGTAGATTAATATGATCTTTTTATTTCGTATTTTCAATTTATTTTCTTATTTTGTCGCCCCCTACACCCCGTTGTGGGTCGGTGACCTGTGTCCGGGTGGACTATTGCCCGTAAAACAACAAGACAATCTCCCTAACATACACAACGGAGAAACAGACTTCAACTTCATTACAAAACAAGACACTTTCCCAACGCTTGATATCCCCACCTGTCTATAGCCACGTCCAATACAGCTAAGAGTTCACCTATTGTTGTTGACGTGGAGTGTGTGTGTGTGTGTGTGTGTGTGTGTGTGTGTGTGTGTGTGTGTGTGTGTCTGTGTGTGTGTGTCTGTGTGTGTGTGTGTGTGTGTGTGTGTCTGTGTGTGTGTGTGTGTGTGTGTGTGTGTGTGTGTGTGTGTGTCTGTGTGTGTGTGTGTGTTAAGGAGATCAGTTCTCACACGTCACGGAAAAGAAACAAAGAGAAAGAATGAAAGAAAAAAGAATGAAAGAGAGAAAAGAGAAAATAAGAACGTCAAAAGAGCGTCTGCGCGTGAGCCTCGGTTTAAACAAGACCGAGTCGTCGCCTGTTGATTCAGTTCTCGTGTGGCTGTTGAGTGAGTCAGTTGTCCCGTAACCTCTCCTCCCACTACCCCTCTCTCTCTCCTCCCTCTCACACACGCGGTCCGCACCACTCGAGTGAATTTAGTGATATAAACAACCAATCAAGTATTAGTTTTTTCCCCACCAGTATTTTTCCCACCAATCAACCACTATTTTTCCCACCAATCACTATTTTCCCACCACTCACTATTTTCCCCACCAATCAACCACTATTTTCCCACCAATCACTATTTTCCCACCAATCACTATTTTCCCCACCAATCAACCACTATTTTCCCACCAATCACTATTTTCCCACCAATCACTATTTTCCCACCAATCAACCACAATTTTCCCTATAAGTTTAAGCTCCCTAAAATATAAAACAAACACAATAGGTAAATAATTCCTTACTAGTATAACAAATAATTTCTCCCTTAAGTTTAGCCTCAACAAACAAGTAAACACCAGACAACATAAATGAATAAAGTGTAAAAAAACAAACAAAAAAACTAAATAAGAGATGTAAGATAATTAATTCTTCATGGAATGTTTACTCTCGGGTTAAGGAAACATTAACTGAGAGATGAAGAAAATTAACTGGAAAATTGTGTGGTTTTTGCCTGCCCTCGTCTTCGTCCACACGGCCAGGAGCCACAATGGTGAGTAAAACGTGCTATACCACACCTCTTATGTATATACAATTATAAATACTAATTAATTATAGGATATTTAATTATAGGCTGTATTTAATTATAGATATTAAGAAATTATATATATTTAATTATAAACTATAGCTAAATGAGGTATAATATATTTAATTACTGGATATATCTATCAATTGTAATTAAGAAAGTATATATATTTAATTACAGGTATTAATAACAAAAGGCTTCAACTATATTAACAATGTATATAAATTTGTTGAAAAAAATCTCCTGTCTAATAATTAATTGACCAATATTAATTAAACCAAAAGGTAACCTCTCTACCTGTACGGGATAACTAACACTCAAAATATATCCACTTAATTAATAAACTTTCACTTCGTACAATAAAAGTTTAAAGTTTTGCAATTGGAACTTGTTATCGTGTTAGAAACTTCCAAAATTTCTTCAAAGATTTTAATGGAAGTTTAAAAAAAATATCTATTTTTTCCTTGGAACTTTTTAATGATGAAAATATTAAGAATTTCTTAAAGTCATTAATGATTTTTTTATTGTTGTGGATAAAACTTTCGTAAGTTCTTAAAGTTCTCAGGAAATTTTCATAAAAAGTATTGGAAAGTTTTCATTGGAACTTTCTATCGTGGAAGAACCTTGAGAAGTTCTTAGACATATCACTGGAACTTTTTATCAAGCATGTGTGTGTGTGTGTGTGTGTGTGTGTGTGTGTGTGTGTGTGTGTGTTCAAATCATAAAGCACCAGATAACATTCCCTCAAAACAATGATAAAAGCAAATTGAGAACAACAAAAACGAAAAGACTTAAAAATACACACACACACACACACACACACACACACACACACACACACACACTCCCCGTCACTCATACAAAACACACGAGGCCAGGCGAGAAAAAAAAGCACAGAAAAACAACAACAACAAAAAAGCACAAAAAAACATTCAATTCCCCAAACATAAATAGAGTAAAATTTTCTACCGTGTTTTTTTTTTATTATTTCTTAACAAAACCAATAAGGAAAAACAATAGAATTAACAATATAAAAATAGAAGTTTGTCTTATTGTTTTGTCTACAAGGGCTGGAGGGCTGTGGTCACCTTACATACATACATACATAATGGAAGCCCAGTGTTTAAGGTGTAGAAGCTGTCGCCAACACAACAACCACACCCTGAGTTAACGAGCTGCATGACCCAGTGTTTAAGGTGTAGAAGCTGTCGCCAACACAACCACACCCTGAGTTAACGAAGCTGCATGAACCCAGTGTTTATGTGTGCAGAAGCTGTCGCCAAATACAACAACCACACCTGAGTTAACGAGCTGCATGACCCAGTGTTTAAGGTGTAGAAGCTGTCGCCAACACAATAACTACACCCTAAGTTAACGAGCTGCATGACCCAGTGTTTAAGGTGTAGAAGCTGTCGCCAACACAATAACTACACCCTAAGTTAACGAGCTGCATGACCCAGTGTTTAAGGTGTAGAAGCTGTCGTCAACACAACAACCACACCCTGAGTTAACGAGCTGCATGACCCTGTGTTTAAGGTGTAGAAGCTGTCGTCAACACAACAACCACACCCTGAGTTAACGAGCTGCATGACCCAGTGTTTAAGGTGTAGAAGCTGTCGTCAACACAACAACCACACCCTGAGTTAACGAACTGCATGACCCAGTGTTTAAGGTGTAGAAGCTGTCGCCAACACAACAACCACACCCTGAGTTAACGAACTGCATGACCCAGTGTTTAAGGTGTAGAAGCTGTCGCCAATACAACAACCACACCCTGAGTTAACGAACTGCATGACCCAGTGTTTAAGGTGTAGAAGCTGTCGCCAACACAACAACCACACCCTGAGTTAACGAACTGCATGACCCAGTGTTTAAGGTGTAGAAGCTGTCGCCAACACAACAACCACACCCTGAGTTAACGAGCTGCACGACCCAGTGTTTAAGGTGTAGAAGCTGTCGCCAACACAACAACCACACCCCCGGAGTTAACGAGCTGCATGACCCAGTGTTTAAGGTGTAGAAGCTGTCGCCAACACAATAACCACACCCTGAGTTAACGAGCTGCATGACCCAGTGTTTAAGGTGTAGAAGCTGTCGCCAACATAACAACCACACCCTGAGTTAACGATCTGCATGACCCAGTGTTTAAGGTGTAGAAGCTGTCGCCAACACAATAACCACACACCCTGAGTTAACGAGCTGCATGACCCAGGTTTAAGGTGTAGAAGCTGTCGCCAACACAACAACCACACCCTGAGATAACGAGCTGCATGACCCAGTGTTTAAGGTGTAGAAATTGTCGCCAACACAACAACCACACCCTGAGTTAACGAGTTGCATGACCCAGGGTTTAAGGTGTAGAAGCTGTCGCCAACACAACAACCACACCCTGAGTTAACGAGCTGCATGACCCAGTGTTTAAGGTGTAGAAGCACGCCAACACAACAACCACACCCTGAGTTAACGAGCTGCATGACCCAGTGTTTAAGGTAGAAGCTGTCACCAACATAACAACCACACCCTGAGTTAATGAACTGCATGACCCTGTGTTTAAGGTGTAAAAGCTGTCACCAACACAACAACTACACCCTAAGTTAACGAGCTGCATGACCCAGTGTTTAAGGTGTAAAAGCTGTCACCAACACAACAACTACACCCTAAGTTAACGAGCTGCATGACCCAGTGTTTAAGGTGTAGAAGCTGTCACCAACACAACAACCACACCCTGAGTTAACAAGCTGCATGACCCAGTGTTTAAGGTGCTAGAAGGCTGTCGCCAACACAACAACCACACCCTGAGTTAACGAGCTGCATGACCCAGTGTTTAAGGTGTAGAAGCTGTCGCCAACACAACAACCACACTCTAAGTTAACGAGCTGCATGACCCAGTGTCACGTAATAGTCCGAGAAGACCGGACAACTCGCCAACTGCACTGGCTAACCATTACCCCGGAACACGATCCCCAAATCGACTAACATCCAGGTCCTCAATTACTGCTGGGTAGACAGAGGCAAATGGCGTAAAGAAACTTGACCATAGTTTCACCCTGCCCGGGGATCGAACCCAGGTCCGTTCTCTTGCGAGGCGAGGATGCTGACCAGTACACCACAGGTCGCCACATACATATATACATACACACATACACAAAAACAAAAGTCACAAACAAGAGAATAAACAAATAAAAAATCTTACATATACCAAAAACAGACAAAACATACCATAGTCCCCCCCCTCAAAAAAAAAAATATAAATAAAATAAAATAAAAGCGTTGCAAAAGTTATCCCAAAATCACTTCCCCGGCGCCAAGAAGACATTTGCATAGGTCAGATATACGGGAGCTGTATCATGGATTCGAACCCGCGATCTAGGATTCATTCCACTTATACCCCTCGCTGCTCAGCCCACCTCCCCACTAAGCCACCGGACAGGGAATGCATTTATATTGTGGGTAATAGTGGTAGAAGTCAGCCCGACTGCCCATGATGTTCAACTTAACGACCCATGGGTGTGTGTGTGTGTGTGTGGGTGTGTGTGTGGGTGTGTGTGGGTGTGTGTGTGTGTGGGTGTGTGTGTGTGTGGGTGTGTGTGTGTGTGTGTGTGTGTGTACTGAGGGGTGTACTCAAGGGGTTAAATCATCATACTCAAGGGGTTAAATCATCATACTCAAGGGGTTAAATCATCATACTCAAGGGGTTAAATCATCATACTCAAGGGGTTAAATCATCATACTCAAGGGGCTTGTTGATAAAGACGTAAGATTTATTACCATCACCTTCAATTGAACAACGTCATTATTAAATACAGACACAGACTGACACACACACACACACACACACACACACACACATACACACTCCACGTGCGCACACATACACACTCCACATGCGCACACGCATACACAGGTAAGTAAAACAGCAGTTTGTGTTGCAAGAAATCAGCGTCTTTAGAAAGAAGTTTTGTTTAGCATCGGTTTAGTACAACTGGATTAATTACCCGAAAGGCGTTAAACGTTTGAAGACAATATTAGTATAAATTAATGATAAACAGACAACCTCATCAACAGCCTGCACACAGCTCTGCCCGATGCATGATGTTCTTTAACATACTTACCGATTTTTACTTATGTTTATTTATCTAAATGTTAATTCATATAGGATGGCTCATTGCTCTATCCATTTTAAAATCAAATTAACAGTATATACCAGCAGAAAGGCATAATATAATGCGAAACAACAAAGCCCAACCATTAATTAAGCAACGGAGAACTAAGTAACCAATCACCGATCACTTCTACATTCATTCATAATTTTCACTACGTAGTATAGTAAACAAACGGCCTCGAGTTGCCAGCTGTCTCCAGCAGTGTTCGAAGAGTCTTGAACGTGACTGTACGTGTCACACTTTCTCTCGTTCACAATCTTAGTTTAATATACTTTCCTTAGTTGTCCACCAATATATATATATATATATATTTACTATTAATTATAAAACATAATGTCAAACAGAAATATTATTCCAAAAATAGTATTTGTGGCTATCTGCTCGCTCTGCTTGTGGAGGCTGGCCACCGAGCGGTGCACGATCATCGCTGGACAGGTCGCCAACTTGAGGCACCAGCTGCTGGAGACTGACCACGACCTCCAAGACGTCCCCGGGTACAGGAGGATCCTGGCAAAGATAGGGGTCATTGAGCCCCCTCAAGGAGCTGACCTCTCCCTGATGGTGGACGACGACCTAACAATGGCGGATGAGATCCCCTTCATAGGCTCGCTAACGCTAGGGTCAAAATACCTATCGACCATAGAGGGGATCCGAGAAGAGATCTTGAGGCATGGGCGGGTTTCCCGGGAGGATGAGCCCTTATGGCCATCCTCTGAGGCGAAAGCCTTAGCCATCGTCACCTATATGATCATGTGCTTCTTCATCGAATATAAGCTCGTGAGATCCCGGGGTAAAGCAAAGGTG